GAAGAAATTCTGATTATGATGATAATAAACTGCTAAAATTAGCCCAATATATCATGAGATATGAATATTTTAATTTTTGCGATCTTATTTAAATAAACAAAAAAGGAATTGTATAGTCACGAGAATTAAAATTCTCATATCTCGTTATCCACTGGGTCAATATTGATTTTTTATCCATAATTATAGCCGAAATTTCTTCCTCTACAACTTTATTAGAAGTAGAAGAGGAGATTACAGAGCAAAAATCCTAATAATCGATTAAATAATCGATCGGTTATGACCGGTCATTTAACCTTAAATAACCGACTGCGGTCAACCGGTTGACCGTCAATAACCAGTAATGACTGACCGTGACCGACCGTGACCGACCGAACCCATCCCTAGTTATAATAGCATTGGCTAAAAAGCGTTAGCTAAAGAGTATTTAAACTCTATAAGTTTTTTGCAAGGTTGAACCAAGAAACAAATAATGCTTTTTTGTACGGCTAACCAGAAACCCCCAACACAGGAATTTTTGTTTTAATAAAAATTAATGCTTACAAAGATTTGGTTAAAGAGTACTTAAATCCTATGAGTTCCTATGTAAGGTTGAGCCAAAATGCAATAATGTTTCTTTGCAAGGTTAACAAAAAACTCCCAACACAAAAACTTTTATTAAGTTGGCTAATAAATAAGTTCTTTGCAAAATTTAACCAAGAAACTTATATAACTGCTAAATATTGAAGTTTCTTTGCAAGGTTAACCAAGAACTTCCAAATAAAAATTAGTGTTGTAATAGCGTTGGTTAAAGAGTCCTTACACCCTATGAGCTCTTTGCAAGGTTGAACCAAGAAACAAATAATGCTTTTTTGTGCAGCTAACCAAGAACTCCCAACACAGAAATTTTTATTTTAATAAAAATTAATGTTTAAAAAAATTTGGTTAAAGAGTACTTAAACCCTATAAGTTCTTTTGCAAAGTTGAGCCAAAAAGCAATAATGTGTCTTTGCAAGGTTACCAAGAACCCCCAACACAAAAATTTTTATTTAAACAGGTTCGTTCTTTGCAAGGTTAACCAAGAAACTCTATGCAATTGAAAGTACTTGCGCTAAACTTAAAATCTCCTAGCTAAGAATGCTTAAACTTTATTTACTAACACCTAGTATTGCGTAGTACTTATGTTCTTGAAAAACACAATACCTCTGGTTCTTCACTTTCTGGTTCTTCACTTTCTGGTTCTTCTGGAACCTCTTGTTTTTCACTTTCTGGTTCTTCTGGGGTTTCTGGTTCTTCTGGGACTTCTGGTTCTTCTGGGGCTTCTGGTTCTTCTCTTTCTGGATTTTCTGGGGCATTTTGTTTTTCTAGTTTCTTTGGCCTCATGTTTAGGGACATTGTTGCTAAAGCACGTGTGTTTGAATACGTTGTTATGATAAATAAATTAGACAATCAAAATTTTTTTATTGGCTATAACGATAATAGTCAGGGACATTACCCGATATGGAAATTGATCAGAATCAATAAACAGATCGACACGGATCAGTCCGATAAGACTCAGCCAGAAAAAAAAGTGGCAGGCACGTGATTTTTCGAAATCTGGCCAATTAGATAGAAAGATCAGGTGTAACGTCAAAATCACTTTTTTGTTTTTTTTTGAAAAATCGTCAATAACTCGAAATTTCACTTATGAAACTACCTTCTGCGTACTAACAAAAA